CACAAGCTCTGCCATCTCTGCCATCCCCCGCCAAGCTCAAACCTTGGTGGTAGAAAACCCCCTGTCCCCTCCCCAAGGACAAATGGCACCTCTGGGGCCCCCCAAGGCTTCCTCATTCCTGCCGGATGACGGCTGCCATAAATCCCATTGTATGCGTAGGGAGTTCAAGCATTTCTTTACCATTTCAAAAATCTCCAGGAGGGGTTAGGTGCTGTCCCTGCCATGGCTCTCCTTTTGCAGGATTATTAGAGTGAGACAGAAGTGATAAGGGCAGAGAAGGTCAGCTGGAGGAAGGAGTAAGGAGTAACTGTCCCCAACAGGGTGCTCTGGGACAGTCCCATTGCTGCCACTCCTGACCGAGCAGCTCCCTGAGGTTTTGGCAGCAGGAGAAAGAGGAGATGGTTCTGCTGCACTGCTCTTAGCTCCTCCCTGATAAGGAAGACCACCAGGACAGCCTTGGCCAGTGGCAGTGGTGATGCCAGCCTGGGCACAGAATGGCTCCAGGCAGGGTCAGGGGACAGGACAGGATGTCCCGACCCTGTGTCAGGTACTGCCTTGTTAGAGATGCACCTTTCCTGCTCCTCGTCCTGGTGCCACACGTGCAGGGGCAGGGCTGCTTCCAACGGGGATCCAGCTCTGCTGCTGGAGAGTCCCTGCCTGTCCCACCTGTGCTACAGCACAGCATGTGCTCCAACATGCCCAGGACAAGCAAAAAGCTGGCACACACACCCCCACTGCCTGTGGAATGGCCTAGGGAGCACACTTGTGCTGCCAGCTGAGCCCCCTTCCTTACCGCTCTGGTTTGACCGCTGAGGGGCTCAGAGCTGGCTTCAGCACCCATGGGTGCCCCTGGCCCCTCCACACACACCCAGATGAGCCCTCCTCTCCCTTCTGCCTTCATGGCTGCAGCCCAAGAATCCCCCCTACCCATGGGAGAGCCCTGGGAGGGTGTGAGCTGGGGTGCAGCTCATCCTGCTTTGGGGGCCAGGACCCCCCACACCTTCCTGCCTTGCTGCAGTGTGACTGCAGAATTACCCTGCCAACACTTTGGGGTTCCGTGCACAACGGTTTTGATCTCCCAGTGCCTTTTACAATGATTTCCAGGAGAGGAAAAACCCAGCCCTAAGCCAGTCAGCACCCCTGCCCTCAGTTCTCAGCAGCAGCCACGGGCAAGGGTCTGTACAATTGCCACCAATATAATTATTACGTGCTGGGGTTGCATCCTCTCCCTGCTGCACAGCAGGCAGACTTTGGCCTCTGCCCGCATTTCATCCCCCCCTCTCACGGGAGGCACTTGCAGGAGGGAGCCAGGCTGCACTCCCTGGGCCGGGTACCCTCTGCAGGACCTCAAAATGAGGGGCAGGGACCAACCATGCCATGGGGAAAGCAGGGAGGGATATGGTGGGGAGGTGGCATCCAGACCCTCCTCCTCACTCCCTCATGCTGGTGATGTCAGGGAAAGAGCGTGGGGTGTCTGGGGGCCCCTTCCCCTCCCCCGGCCAGGGCAATATGAGGTGCTGGTGCCCGGTGGCAGCCCCACACCTTAGTTGATTTAGCTGGGGATGACCCGCCGTGTCCTTGGGGCTGGCTACCTAAGGTGCAATCACACAAGCCTGGCTATAAAACCAGCAAAGGCTCCGGTAGCAGCTGCCGGGAGCTCCTGCCCTCTGGGCTGGGAAGAGGAAATGCACGGGGAATTTAAAATCCAAAGTAACTGTTTCACAGGCTGCCCTGCAAATGGAAGGAAAGTTTCAGCGCTCCTTGCTCTGAATCTTGTCATCTCCCCCCCGCCAGTTTATCTTTACTCCATCATTCAAATCTCAGGACAATCAGATTTGCTTCCTTCCAGCTTCCTGGGAAGAACTATCTGAGGGCCCTGGGGCTTGTCTGAAATGGCAGGAGCAACAAAATTCATCCAAATTGCTGGTGAGGACAGGTTCATGGAGCTTCTTTCTGTACAAGTGCTGAGGGGATAAGTTCCAAGGGCTTTCACTTAATTCATGCCCATCAAAAAACAAAACTCACCCAAGCCAGGCACACCTCCACCTGCCTGGAAAGGAGTCTGACCTGGTCAAAATAAAGCATTTTTAATACATACACTTAATGAATTCAAACTATTTTTGGAGTTTCTGTGCACAGAGAAACCTTCAGTCACCCCTCTGAATTGCAGAGGAGGGACACAAAAAGTTACTATTACAATTTTTTCCTGTGCATATTGCACTTTTGAACAACCAACAACATGACCCTGCCAGCAAATCCTAAAGAAACATTTCCTGCAGTGCCAGGGTGGCTGCACCTGGACCATCAGTGCCTACACCACCACAGGCAGGTCCGCCCCTGTTGCGGAGGGACGGGAATAATTCCGTTTCTCAGAGGGGAAAAGGTATCACTGTGAGATAAAAGTGCCCACAACATAGCGATTAGTTCTTTTTGCTGCTATAATTAGCACTGCCATAAGGAGAAAATCAATGCTAAGAGCAGCAGGCACAGCCTGCTCCCCTCCTCAGCTCTGTCTCTACCCCGAGACCTTGGCAAAGCTGTGCAGGCGCCCACACCCACACTCGTCAGCCACGCTCAGCTTCACAGGGCAAATGGAAGCTTGGGTTAGGCTGAATTCAGGTTTTGGGTTTTTTGTCTTCTTTGCCACTGAGGCAGCCAAGCCCCTGTGTCCCAGTGGAGAGCTCTGTGTGTGTGCGAAGTCCCCCGTGTGAGCACACACACACACACACACACACACTGGGAGGGAGGGAGAGCTGCCTCTGCAAAGAGGGAAGGACAGCCAGCAGCTCACCAGAACTCTGGGAGAAAGCTTTGTGAAAAGCTTTGTGAAAACATACCTCTAGGATGGTTTTTGAAATAGTTGTTATTATTTTTTGTTAGCTTGCAGTTTGATAAGAGAGGTTGGTTCCTCACACTGCACAGGACAAACGGAGCAGGAGTGGGCTGTGGTTCAGGACTAAAGCTGGAAATGGGCTGTGCTTGAACTTTTCTCCCTCCCCTTCCATATCTTGCAGGGGTTTCCTTAGGCTTCAGTCCTTTTTCTTTTGCCACTAAGGCAAGCCACAAGTGAGCAGCCCATTTTCTGGATTCTCTGGTGACTAATACAGGCTTGAGCTGACACTGCCACCCCTTCTCTTCACAGGATGCTACCTAAAGTGACATGACCCAAAGCCTAGCCAGAACTGCTCCTCATCCATCAGAACGGCTGGAACAGGGAAATAAGCATGGAAGTCTTACTGAGCCAGGGCCTGCAATGCAGCCTTATCAAAGAGTGCCAAATGCCTGTGAAGGAGCGTAGAGGGTGGATGAGGCACACAGGGGTTGCACAAGCTGAATTTTCTTTGAAATCCAGGATAAAAATACTCCCTAAGGATGGACTGCAGATGTTATCCGAGATCATTATCCTGATCTGAACTGTTTGCCCAGGGAAAAAATGGCCTTGAGCTTTCCAGTCTCCTTCAGGTGTGACCCAACCCTTTTCCGCCTGGCGCTCAGCCCCACCTCCATGAGCGGCTGCGCCTCTATTCCCGGGCCAGCAAAGGAGGAACCGGGCACTGGAAAGAGGGCACCAAAGCTCTGGGCATAGGACAGGTTTCAGCAGCAGAGAAACCCTCCTGATCCACCTCTCCCTCAGCTTAAGCCCATGCTCTGCCTATGTTTGGGAGTCACATGGACACAGCCACCAGGCTCGTGTTCCTTGGGCTGAAATCTTATTTTGTGTCCTTCTGCCCACCAGCAGCTGGGAAGCTTTTCCCCAGCAGGAAAACATCTCCTGTTTGTGCACATCCCGTCTGGGCACTCCTGCCCTCCCACCTCTGTCACACCACTTCCCTGCCCCTGCAGCTGGGCTCTGAGAAAGGAAATGGACTTTTCCAAATGGGCTTCTTCCACGTTGTGGCTGCTGCGAGGTTTTAAACCAGATGCTAATCTGTGCTTGGAGAAGGTCCCCTCTCACCCCAGAGCATGGAGAGGGGGCAAAGCAGAAGAGCAGGGTCACAGCGCGGAGCTGAGCCCTTCAGCGAGGCCCAGAGAAGCAGGAACACCTGAACCAACAGGGCAGAAACTGAGATGGTGAAAGCCAGCCTGAATGCTCCCTGGAGATTCCAGCCCCTCCAGGGTTTAATGGCAGGCCTGGGTAGAGGCACTGGGGGAGCTGAACCCTTCCCCAGTGCCAAGGGATTGTGCTGGCTGCCATCCACCAGGCTCTTGGCTCAACCCAGTTTTTGGCACTCCAGTGGCCTTGGACCCCTCACAAGGACTTGTGCACAAACCCTAATGACAGTAAAGATACCAAGAGCACAGACATTAGACTCGATTGAAACATAATCATCCCCACTAATTTCACCTTTTATTTTAATCACGCTCATTCAGCAGAGAGATGGAAAAGATTATAATGAGGAGGCATCAGCCTGACATGTGTTTGATTTCGCCTTCCACTGCAGACAGGGCTGGGGATGGAGCAATTCTGTCTTCAGAGCACGAAAAACTGGCAAACACGGGCCTTAAGGCCACACACTGAACAATGAGAAGAAACCAAACAATTGAAGAGCAGCTTTCTCCAGCTGCTTCTCTCATGCACTTCGGGATTTCTGGGCGAGGAGAGCGCAGAACCGGTGGTCTTCCCTCGACAAAACCAGAAATGTTTCTTGCACGCACAAGCAACCTCCTTTTGTTGGCGCTGGCCGGCAGGAAGCTCCAGCGAGCATCCCCGCCGGGAACAGCCCGGGAGACACGGCACAGCTGGGCACACAATCCCAGCGGCGCTGGGAAACAAAGGCCCGCTTTCAGCAGCCCATGGCAGAGCTTCTGGCCAGCAGGGTGCGGGTGCCCGGCCCCGGAGCGGCATCTCCAGGGAGCAGCACACCCAGGGAGCGGCGCACCCAGGCAGCGCCATCTCCAGGGAGCCGCTGCCCGGCGCCGCCGCGCATCGGCGCTCGGCTGCTCCGGCCTGCTCGCCGCGCTCGGCGCTCGGCCGGGGGCGGGGCGCGCCGCCTCACGCCGTCCGCGTCCCCGCCCGCCCGGCGCTTCCCCCGCCGGCCATGTCGCGGGGCTCCCGCCTGGCGCTGGCCGTCTCCGCGCTGCTCTCCGCCGCCACCGTGGCGGCCGTGCACATCCAGCAGCGCCGGGAGCTGGAGGTGAGTGCGCGCCGCGGGCCGCGGGGGGGAGGCGGCGAGCGGGGCCCTGCCCCGGCCCTGGCTGCGGCCCCGCCCCTCACCTGCCGGCCCGCCGGGCCCCGCCCCACCTGCGGGCGCACGCGGAGCCCCGCCCGCCGCCGGGCCCCGCGCCTGAGCCCGCCTGGCCCTCACCCCTCCATCCCTCCCCGCAGCTCCTTGGGGGGCTGCGGGCTCTGTGTGGGCCCAGCCCGGCTCCCAGAGGCCGGAGCTGCCCCTGCCCAGCGCTGCCTCGCTGGTGCTGCCTCGGCTGCACTGCTCCCCATGGTGCTCCCTCCACAAGCCACCCCTTCTCCGCGTTTTCCTGCCTTGGTGCCTGTGCTTTTAGCTCTACCAGCTCTACCAGCTCCCTAATGCTGTCCTGTGCGTTTCTCTTCGGGGGCAAACAGGAGCCAGGAGCTCCAGGTGAGGCTCTCTGGAGGTGCTTCCTCTCTCCAGCAGCCAGCATACAGGGGAGGGGGGATGTGATCTTGCAGCCTCCAGCCAGTGCCACCCCCCCGGCAGTGTTCCCAGTGCTCTCCCCTGGCTGTGGCTGTGCTGTCCCACCGGTGTGCCCTGTTCTTCCTCAGCCCCACAAATGCACCCTGCTGGACGACAGACAGCCCTGTGCTGTGCCGTGCCCCTGCTCCCCTCTTGTTCTGCCAGGGCAGGCACAGTGCAAGCTGTCAGAAGCACCACGAGATAATTGATCAGGGCGGTTCTCTCTGCTATATTTACAAAAATCAGGGAATTCCTGGCAGGTAGCCTGTGTGCCAGAGAGCCCTCAGCCAAAAGGTGTCAGGTGACCATGGTGAGTCCTGAAGCAGAGCAGTCCTGCCTGGGACTAAAAGCTGTGTGGCTGTGTAAAGCTGTGCTGTGTGGGCAGTGAGTGTGCTGGTTTGGACCCTGCTGATGAGCCCAGGGTTATATGAGGGCACACATCTGATCCTTCTCCACTTACATCTAGAAAATGCACACAGAAACAGCCTGTGTTTAATGACACTGAGGCAGTCAGAAGTTACAGAACACCAGAGTTCAACCTCCCAATCCATAGCCCAGCTCAGCTGGCTGTTGCTTGGCCTTTATGATACATTCTATAATTAGAGGATTATATTTTCTCCCCCCCAAGAGAGATTGTCTCTATCAGTGCTTGAGAGGGATGGAATTTGAAGGATGAGACTGGTCTGGGTAAGGAAAGAGGCAGGTTTGTGTGAGCAGGAGTTGGAGAACACTCTGGATTATTGGGATAGTGGGGATCCTGGAGTGGTCACCAGCAATGGCTCTGCACTTGACAGAGCTGATGGATGTGCTGGGTAGATCACCTAACATATTTTAGGTAGATCACATCACATTTTTGTAGCTGGCTGCTCTCTAATTCAATGTGCCTGCCTTGAGGCACTGAGGATCTGGCAGGAATAGCTGCTAAAGGCTCCTAAACTAAACTAAACTAAACTGCAATTAATGGCAGCTGTACTTTGAACATGTGCTGCACAATAAACATCACCCTTGGGTGTTTCAGTGGGACACCTAAACTTCCTGGATCTTTTTGACCCAAATCCTTGGCTAATACCTATTCAGAAGGGTCAAGGCTCAAAGTTTATGTTTTGTAATTAAATCAGATATTTTCTTTTTATAATTCTTCATGGCCAAGTCAAGCAGTAGTGGCTTCATGTTCAACAGATCCAGTTATTTAGGTAACATCATGGAAATAAATATTGTGGATGTTTTACACTCCCGGTGTAGAGATTATTTCAAGTTTATCTTTATGCAGATTAAGAAACATTTGACTTTTATTAATTGATGTGTCAGGCCCAGAGTGATTGAAGCTTGCACATGCCTTTCATGCCTGCAGAAGACAAGCAGGGCTAACTTCCAAGAGTAGAGGAAGATGAGGAGATTAACTTTTTCATAGGTCTTTGTCGCTTGTGGCACTCAAATTCTAAAGGTGTCTTTTGCAAAGTGTGCATTTTCAAAGGAAATACATCCACCACCTGAAAGATTGCAGTGTTTAGTGAAGGAAAAAGGATTGCGTTCTTGGTGCAGTTGATCAGTTACTTTGTATCTCCACACATGTTTATTGCTATTAACTAATAGTAATGTAATAATGAGTTTATGAACTTTGTGTTCAGTTTCAAATTATTGATTCGCAGTAATCTGTAATTACAGTAATTCGTAGCCTGAATTCAGTTGATGGAAGCTGGTGGGAAGGAATTGGTTTTATTAGATTAAATTCTGGAGAGTTTTGATTATTGGCTGACGTATGTGTCTGTGCATTTTCTTAAGATAAAATTATTTATTAAAACGTTTCTGTTTTGATCTTGACAGGAGAAATGATTGCATTTTAAGTGTGCAGTCATTGGCATGCTAGGTCAGGAATAAAGCTGGGTGATAACTTGTCAAATAATAGCCACAGACATCCTCTCAAGTGACTTCAGGGTCAGCTTTCAAATAAAGTATTTGCAGGAGCATTTTGGCATCATTTAAATGGGTCAAATAAATTATTGATCTTTCACCTAATTATCAAAGTATTGATGTGAGTAAAAATGTCTAGGTAAGAGAGAGAAGCATATGGAGGAAGCAGCTGGGATTTTCATAGTGCTTTTTACACCCATTGAGAGGTTGAAAGCTGCTGGTGTTGTGTTGCACGTTATGTATGTATTTATATATGTGTTATATATTTACATGATTTATAACAAGCATTTTAGGTAATGGGGATATTTGTGAAGCAAGTGCCTTGCTTTTTCAAGAGTTTGGCACAAGCAGTCTGTGGGTATTTTTTTAAGATTAAGAATGAGCAGAAAGAAGCAAATGAAGACACATGCCAGTTTTTCTTAAAATAGTTTCCAATTTGTCACAAAATTGCCTCCAAGCAGAGAAGTTTTGAGCTTATTCTGATTTGGTAAAGTTTTAGGTCAGAGATGACATGATTTTTTCGATCACATCCATCCTGCATGACACGGGAATTACAGGCTCCTAGCATTTATTTGCTAAAAGTTGTGTCACTTAGTAAACCAAACTATTCGAAGTGAGCATAAGTAAAGCACATATTGGTGTAGCGATCCTGGATATTGGCTCCCGAAGATTCCAAGTACGTTGAGTTGCTGTGGGAAAGCCCCTGCCCAGGCAGCAGAGGGAACAGCCTTGCGGGAGGGGGAGCTTGGGTAGGGTTGGTCCCGATCAGCATTCCCCGGGCTGTGATAAACCCTGTCCTTTGTGTTTCCAGAGGCTGCGAAGTGGCGTGGTCAGAGATCTCGAGCGTCAGAATCAGAAAAAGGAGAACGTTCGCCTGTTAGAAGAGCAGATTGCTCTGACAAAGCAGCTCATTGAAGAGAGAGACAAGGCGCTAATGGAGAAACCTTCCCAGCAGTCCTAGGCGCGGGCCTGGCGCCTTAGAGGTTTGATTAAAGACGTCTGAAGGTCATTTGCATCTCACTTCTGGCCGATGTTTTAACAAACAGAAGAAATCTGTGAAGGACTGGTTGTTTTGTATAAATTATAATCCAGCCTCTGCAGCTTTAAGGCAGACAAAAACCCATTTCGTCCGTGATTGGTACTTGGACTGTGGAGGCTTGGCCCGCATCCGAAGCTGGGGAGGAAGAGCCCATCGTTGGGCAGGCTCCCTCTAGGATGGCCAACAACGTTCACATGAGTGGGCTGCTCAGCCGCCACGACGATGAAGCCACCAGGACCTCCACCTCCGAGGGCCTGGAGGAGGGCGAGGTGGAAGGGGAGACTCTCCTGATTGTGGAGTCCGAGGACCAGGCTTCCGTGGATTTATCGCACGACCAGAGCGGGGACTCCCTGAACAGCGACGAGGGTGAAGCGTCCTGGATGGAGGAGATGTCCTATTACTGTGAGAAGTGCCAGAAGTGGATCCCAGCAAGTAAGGCTGCCCGTTGTGTTCTTTTTATAATTCTTCATGGCCAAGTCAAGCAGTAGTG